TTCTGACAACAAAGCCCTCTTAAACACGTGTTGCACAATTCAGTCCAGAGGAGATGGCAGCCCTCACAGTGAACCGCATGAGAGAGTCGGTGTGTACCCTCGGAAGCAGCCGACATGGTTGAGCGTGTGGCATGTACCATGTATGGGAGTGTGCTCCGGGGCTGGGCCTATTTCTTAGCTGGTTCTCCTTTGGAGCCAGTGAATTGGGCTCGCCTGGGGTCAGTGGGGCCTTGGCCTTGACTGTGGCTGTCAGCTGCCTTGTCCGAGGGCTCGGGGCTTCTTGCCATTGTGCTGTGGTCTGGAACACCCGACACACGTGTCGCAAGACTCAAGAGCCCATCAAGAATCTCACAAGCCTGCTGTGCATTCTGGAGGTCGACATCCTTCACGCGAGCTTTGGAATTATTCAGTCCTGTGCCTCCAGCTGTCTCCAAGTCACAGGAAGTCCTGGTTTTAATGAGGAGCTGGGGAATGCCACGGCTAAAGCTGCCTTTAGTTCTTTTTCAAAAAAGTTTCAATTATGGGTTGATTCTGACATTCTTTGGCTTTACTAAATGGGGAGGAGGCTTTTGTGTTTGTGTGGGGGCTGAGGCAGGAGTCAGTCATGGCTCTTGGGGCCCGACTTTGATCCGGAAACGTGTGTCTAGACTGCCTCTGAGTGGCAGAGCGAATGGGAGTGGTGGTCCCTAGCAGGACCCTCCCTGCCTGCAGGGCACCTGAGCAGGGAGGCACTGCATGGGTGTGCATGTGGGGACTGGTGTGCTTTAGTTCATGGGGTTGGCCACCACCAGCTCTTGCCTGTTGTTGCCATGTACCAATGAGAGCCTAATGTTGCCAACACTCCTGCAAAGTGAGTCAACACTCCTGTAAAGAAGTCAGAAGTTTCCATTTTACCTGAATTTTCCCAATTTTAAAATAATGACACCTTGAATTTAGAAATTCCTCAGACCAAGCAAACCATACCTTCGAGCCACAGTCTGAGACTCTGAGCAGAAAACCTGGTCCAGAGGACTGGTCTGGGTATGCTCTAATAGTCTGCTCCCAAATGAGCAGAACCCCCAGAGGGAGACTATTAGGTCTTAAGAGTTAAATCCATCTCCTTGGTGATTTCCTTGGTTGGAGGGGGAAAGAAGGCTCCAGCTTTCTGAGGCCCTAGAAATCCCCCTTTCCACCGTTGGATAATACCCCACTGCAGCGCCAGGGGCCCACAGTGCTCACCTGGGCTCTCCCTCTACGTGACCCTGCTCCCAATGACCCTGCTCCCAACGACCCTGCTCCCAACAACCCCTGATAACATAGCCTGCTCCCTGGACTTTGTCAGGTGTGACACCCAGTATATAGACTGTGACACCATTTCCTTTCCCACCTAGAAAAACACCTGAACCCAAGTGACACGGGAATAACTTCTGACATGGACAACTTTGAGGTTTCTTTTATTTTTTAAAGGTTAATCACTTATGTAATACTTTGGTACTCTAGTAGAGACGATTTATTCATGACACACATCTCAGTGTGGTAATACATAAAACAGATAAGGAACAAGGAGAAGTAGCTCCAGAATTTCTATATGGGAAAATCTTGGGGGTGGCATTTTGTTGGAAGCAAGGAATAACTGAAGGATTTCTTCTAAAGCTACACTATATACTCTTAAATTGCACATTTATCTAGAAAGCCAAGGAATCCCCAGCAGCCAGGCTTTGGCCCTACCATTGTGATTGGTCAGGACACATGCAAGAGCAACACTAAGGTAAAGACCTACCCCCCTCCTTCTAGATGGGGAGGGGGATGGGCAGGATGAAGTCTCAGAACAGGTGCAGCATAGGCCCCAGTACTCAAGAAAATATTCAATTTGTGGCTATTACCAAAAAGTCTACAAATAAATGTTGGAGAGGGTGTGGAGAAAAGGGAACCCTCCTACACTGTTGGTGGGAATGTAAAGCGGTACAGCCACTGTGGGAAATAGTATGATTCCTTAAGAAGCTAAAAATAGACCTACTATATGATCCAACAATTTCACTCTTTGGTATACACCTGGAAAGAATGAAAACTCTAATTCAAAATGATATATGCACCCCAGTGTGCAAAGCAGCACTATTTATAATAGCCAAGACACGGAAGCAACTCAAGTGCCCATCAATAGAAGACTGACCTAAGATGTGGCATATGTACTCCATGGAATAGTACTCAGCCATAAAAAAAGAATGAAATATTGCCATTTGCAGCAATATAAATTAACCTAGAGAATATTACATTTAATAAACTAAGTCAAAGAAAAATTCTATATGATATCATTCATATGTGGAATATAAAAATAAAACTAATGATTTTATATATAAAACAGAAACAGACTCACAGACATAGAAAATAAACTTATGGTTTACCAAAGGGGACAGTGAAGGTTTGAGGGAGGGACAAATGAGAAGTCTGAGATTAACAGATACAAACTACTATACGTAAAACAGATAAGCAACAAGGATTTACTATACAGCACAGGGAATTATAACCTATAATGGAATATAATCTGCAAAAAACAAACTCAAATCAATTTGTTGTACACCTCAAACTAACAGAATATTGTAAATCAACTATACTTCTATATTAAAATACTTAATTATAAGAAAATATTCAATTTGGAGGCTGATGATTTTGAGCCTAATCTTTGAAGTGTCTTGGACCAAGAGTGGTAGGCTGAGCCATTCTGGATAAAACCAAACCTGCTCTTTGGTAAAGGTCAATGGTGATGTCCGTAATATCTCAGACACCTGCTCCCATGGGCTCCTTCCGCCAGGCAGCCAGATGGCTCATTATGACCAACATGCAGCCCTCCAGGTCTGGTGGCCTGGTTTGTTGGCAGCAGATGGCCTGGGAGACAGGGACTTAACCCCGTTGCTCGGAGTGGTTCCCAGGGGATCCTGCCCTTGGGTCCCTCCTTAGAACCAGCAAACTCAAGGATAACCAGGGGAAAGTTTACTTTGAAGTGACTTATAAACTAACTCTAGAAAAGGAGAATAAAATGAAATACTCATACATGCCATGAAGTGGCTGAATTATTTCCATCACCATAATGCTACTATTAATATTTGGTAATATTTCAAATATTACCAATATTCATGTATAACTCAGAGGGTTCCAATATTTGAAAACAAACAAACAAACCACCAACCCTTCATTAAATTGGTGGCTGTCATCACACTTAAAAACTATCGCCAGCACATCATACCTTTCTGGAATATCGATCATCAGCAACTGGTGAAAACTCACATAGTTTTCACTTAAATTTATCTGTTCATAGATGGCTGGATTGTCCTTTTTTTTTTTTTACTTTTTAAGCAGTAACTTGACACTGAAAAGGCTTATGATGTTGGTACCTTATGTTTCTCCCTGGGAACAAAGAAATCTGGCAGGACATACACACAGGTATATACATAGACACACATGTGGGTGTGCACAGAGCTATGCACCATTAATACTTTTGAGTTGAAGAGTGTGTCTGGGGGACAAAGGGACCAGAAAGTCACTTCTGCAGAGGGGGTTGTCCATCCTGTGGTTTCTTCTGTCCTAAGTCACCTCCTTGCAGTTACTCCTGGGTGTGTGCTGTGCTCCGACCCACTCACCCAGCTCACCCACAGAGTTTCCTCCTCCGCCTCCCTCAGGCCTGGCCAGCCAGGAAGTTCAGCCACAGCAGAGACTCTGAGCTGAGCATCTTCAATGGCCCAAAGGCCAGAGGCACTTAGTAACGTCAAAGGCAGGTCTGAGGCGTGGGACCACTTCACAGCAGGGCCATCTTTCTACTTGGGTCATTCCAGTTTAGAGCTCCATTGGATTTCTTTGCCTAAAATGCCCTCAAATGTCTGCAGCTCTCCTGAAGGTTCATCTGGTTTGCTATGTCTTAGTCTGCGAAACACAGGTGATAAGATGGTAGATGAGACAAGGGGCTTGGTAACATCAGTTCTTGGTGATATGAGATGTAGAGGATATATGTGCAATTTCTTAACACGCATGTGGCCTAAACACTTGCACATGCAGCATCTTGAGAACACAGAGTGACTTCTTTAACTTTTTTTTTTAAAGGAATGATAGTAATCCAACCAGCATCCATCATCTGAGATCAGTTGCTTTTTTTCAGGCATTATCACAAGACCGCGGGGTTCAATGTCAGAAAGCCTCTGCCCTCAGAGTTTTACAGTTTCAGTGGAATGAGATTCTTGCTAAAAAGTATAAAGCCAAATTCCTCTTGCTTCTCATGTCAGGGTGGCTCTATCCCAGTGTGAGCAGCAGCCTGACAAAGGCAGGTAACAGCACAGAGCCACAGGCTTAGCATGGTCCACAACTTCCGGCGAACAAAGGTCCTCAAAGATTTGGAGGGCACATTAATTGTTTTTCTTAAATTAAAATAACCACAAACCTATTCTGGAATAGCATACAAAAAAGTCATATAGTCCTCCCACCCCCAACCGCAGCTCCTCTTCCACCCATAGCGCCTCGGTGGAAAAAGGGCTGCTACTTAAGGCAGAGATGCAGGTGAAGAAGGGAGAGTGGGGACATTCTCAGAGAGGGTCAGCGGGGCAGAGGCATCTAAGAACGCGTAAACCACAGACAGCGCTCTTCCTGGGCAGGCCCAAGCACCTCAGGTTAGAAGAAGGCACACAGAAGTGTCCTTGGGGACCTTGCAGGCTTCAGCAGATCTTCACTTAGTTTCAGAAACAGGGGAGAGACATTCACCATGAGCTCCAGACCAGGAGGAGACACGGTGTTTGAAGCAAGCTGGGGTCTCCTCAACTGTGGCCTTTGTCTGCCTTAAAGTTCTCCTTACTCTCCCCAGGAAGTGGGGAGGCTCTCGAGAGCCTGAAGCAGAGAAGTTGTGTAGAACAGAAAGCGCTGGGGCAGGCATGCCCTCCAGCACGTCAGGCTGGCAGGAAGCTCTGCGGAGTAACTTTGGTTTTAGTTGGAAACCTTCTGTCATGTTCCTGTTGGGGCAGTGGCGGGGGTGGGGAATGTGGTTAAATTTCCTCCTTCCTTGCAGTGGGGAAGGGGTGGGGGGGGTGACGGGGGATGAAGTCAGCCGTGGACGCGTGGAGAAGTGACCTTGAGAGAAGGTGGAGGTTATAGCAGACGGCTTTCAACGCACAAAACTTTTCGGCTGTGGTGAGAGCGAGAGACACTTGCCTGTGCAACAGGCCACTGGGGGAGGTTCCAGAGGAGGGGCCGCCCAGGCCTCCTGACTTGTGGCTTTAATTACCCGGTTAGTCACTGGTTTACTGTCAGCCAAGTTTAGTAAGCTTGACTGTGATCCAAAAAGTCGCCTAGGCCCAAAAGAACCCCAACCACTCTGTGCTGTCCAGCAGGCCGAGGGGCAGGACACTTGGAGTCACCAGCCCTGAGGAAGTAGGGGCCGCCTACCTCTTCATCTCTTTTTTTTCTTTAGACCTGGGATCCTGAATACAGGGCCTCACATGCAGGCCAGGCCAGTTAAACCGGAAACGTTAAGGAGCTGACAGCCTGCAGTTGCTCAGAGGAAAGGTTTGCTGGCACAGGGACCCGTGAAAGCAGAACCCCGATCTTCCAGCCTGGTAGACTGTAGCTGAGGTTCTGGGACCCTGACAGGTGCTGGGCTGCTCATCCAGCTTTTCATGGGCAGAGACAGGTCCCCTCTGTTCCTGGCCCCCTGCCCAAGCCCAGGAGGAATGGATATGTTTTGGGTGGCATCCTCCCGGACAGGAAGAGGCACGGCTTTGTCTCCCGATCTTGGAGCACAGCCTGAAGCTCAGGGCATAGCTCAAGCTTCTATCGTGAGAAACCTGATCCTGGGACTTGAACACTCTGCTCTTTGTGTTCTGCACAACAGGATGGCCCTGCTACTCGCTCAGCTCAGCATGTGTCCTGGCTTCAGCTTCCCTCTTAAGCACCTGACTGCCGGCAGGTTACTGTGACTCATGGCCATTGTATCTGCGGGGCTTGTACTTCCAGCATCTCACTGGCGTGGGCATCTCCCAGGCAAGGGGTTCCATGCAGAGGCTGCCAGACCAGCAGGAGAGGAGACCTCCAGCCCATCTGTCAGCACTGAATAATTTCATCCACACGTACTTCTCTTCCAATCACCCAGGCTACTTTAGCTTCCCTGAACCATGCCAGCCAAAGGCAATGGACAACCTGCGCCCTCTCACGCAGGATGCATCTCCTTGAGTGCTCTGGGAGCCCCACCACACTGGTTTCTCTGTGAGGTCATCTTTGCTGTGGTTTCTGGACACTCTGGACTCCTTCCTGGTAACTTCACACATTCTGGTTTGCCAGACTTCTGAAGGTGTTCAATTAAGTCAAAACATAAGGGCCTTCTGAGCATTCAGCTCTGTGCTTCAAGCCATGGAGGATAGAAAAGTCCCTAGGGGGGGTGGCTAAGCGTTGTCCAAGGCTTGTCCACCCAAAGGGAGACCCAAAGAGAAAGAAATCCACTGTCAGTTAGATTGGGGAATCTTGATCCTTCAAAATACCTATTTTTATATGAAAGTTTCTGTGAAGTCCTGTCATAAAAAATTCTGTTGCTTTTTTTTTTTTTTAATCATTCCTACTGACATCTGAAGGAACTAATGAATGCTTTTGGAATGTAATTTAGGAAATGAGTTAACTGGTCTTCAGCCTAAGAAGGTATCATCTCTAAGGAGCATTTGATCACAGGCAGTAGCATTTTGGGTTGTCGCAAAGAGAGGGAGGTGCTCCTGGCCTTAATATATGGGGGGCGGGGTGATGCGACACCGCGGGCAGTGCACCCCAGTGTCACCAAGCCAAGAATAGTTCTGCCCCAAGTGTCCCGGGCACTCCCCACCCCACGGACAAGTGGAGGCTGGACAAGTGCTCAGCACTGAGTCCCCCTTCTTCTCCGCCACCCACAGGGTCTAACCCCTCCCGGCTATCTCCTCTCCTCGGTCCCCTGGTCCCTTGCTTCCTCTTATCGGGGTGCCTTCCCGGCATTACGGGACAGAGTTCATTTTCGGGTCTGGCAGAAGCAGGCAGAGAGCAGGGCTCCACAGTTCCAGAGTGGATGAAAACAGGGTGCTCAAGGGGACCCTGGGAGATAAAGCGGAAGGGGCTCGTCTTCCTGAAAGTCCTTTCACCTCACCTCACCTGGCAGAGAGAAGCCTGCCCCATGGCTCAAGCCAAGGAGAAAACACCTGGCGCTTAGCCAAAGTCAGGTGACTAGAAAAGGAAAGTGAGGAGGGCGGGTGCAGCCCTCCGTCCTTCCGGGTTAAAGGAGACACCAACTTCCACTGTCTGCAAAGTCGGGGGATTCGGTCTGTCCCTGCTTCTGTCAAAACAGAAAACGCCCATGGCAACCGGCTAGGGTTACCTGAAACCGCAGAGTGTGTTTCACAAAACAAGGGCGGCTCATCGATAGTCACCCGGGGAGATTCCGGCCCCGTGCCCACGAGGTGGCAGTTGGAGGGTGGGATCTCTGCAGAGCTGGGGGGTTTCCGGGCCGCCGCCCCTGCAGGGAGGAGCCGCGCGGGGAGCGAGCCGCCCAGCCCGCTGAGGGACCGAAAGCGGCTTCCATCCGCGCCTGGGCCGGGAGACCGGCGAGCAACTGGACTCGTGACGGAGAATTGCGATCACCGTCCGCCTCCTGTCCTACACACAACGAAAGAAGCAACGCCTGCACATTTGCTCCTTGCAGGACGAGTCCCATTTCTGCTCCCCTCATTCGGCTGTAAATATGCGTCGTTGGGTGATGGTTTCTGCAGCAGTCAAAATGGTCTTCTCCCAGGATATTGCTTTGCGTCTGTTCTCCCCTTCCTCTTTCTCTCTCAGGATTAATCAGTACGGGTGATGAGGGTGGGGGTGGGGGGATGGGAGGGATGCCAGGGTTTCTTTTGTGTGTGTGTTTAATTTCAAAAATGACCTTTAGCACAACGTCCTGCAAAATGTACAGTCCCTCAAATCCCACATTATAGACAAGACCATTGAGAACCAGTGCAGTCAAATTTAAGGTCACCCTGCTGGTGAGCCGCCAAGCCAGGTACAGAGAACCCTTGTGCCCCACACTTTGAGCATTTGGCCTCCCCATTCACTATCATTTCCCTTCTTTAGTACCCATTGAAGCAAAATGTTGATGTTTCTCCCTGTTAAGAAATAATGATTTTAAATTAAAAAAAAAAAGACTGATGATTAAAATTTTCTGGGGGAGGAGCAAAAAACTTTTGATATCAAATGAAAGCAATGTCTAATGAGCCCATCTGGGGTCACCTGGCTCTCAGGGGAAGGTAACTTTGACTATTTACTATTAATTAGAGTCTGGGAAGGCATGCTATTATAAAATTAGATGAGACTGTGTGGAAACTGTTAAAATGTAAATGACTTTTTTGTTTCATAGTAATGCAAATGACTATCTGCTCGGGAAAATATAGCCCCAGAGAGTACAGTTTTGTTGCCCCTGTAACCAGTGACAGACTGTAACATTGACAGTTTTGTATCTAACTTTGCATTCTTACATCAGCATTCCTTTTTGTTCTGAGTGCACAAAATCTTTGGTCCTATGTCCTCTAAAACTCAGCTTTGTCACCCCTCTACATTTTCCCCTAAAGTAAATGAAAATCATGGGCACATGTTCATCATCTGTCAAGGCTCACATTTCTCTTCCCCACAGCCCCCACCAAACTACGACCAGCTTGGAAGGCACACTCAACACCCACCGTTGATTCTTTGACCCAAGTGGCGCACACACATGGCATCAGGAGGACCTAGGGATATGTACTCACCAACTTCGCAGAGTAAAAGAAATCCCTGGGATCGTCAGAAATACACTAGAACTGTCAAAAGGCTACAGACTCAACACGGTAACTCCAAGTAATCTCTGCCCTTCGCCTCTCACACTTTAATCATGTCACAGCTATGATCAGGGGCTGGGGGCTCTGGCCCTCAGGACACCTGCTACACTTTCAGTCCCTGCAAAGAACTTCTGCCACCCCACACAGACTCATACCCATGACCCCATCACCCTGGATCCAAGCAGCCGCCCACTTCTGGTTGGTTAGCCAGTTGAAGGCTCAGCCCAGTGACACCAATGAAATCCTCTCTCTTGGCAAACTTGACAAGGAGACTTTGAGGGAACACTTGTTAGTAAAGGAGACAGAGACAAAGCAGGGATTTGGGGTCCTGAAGCAGCAGGTGTGTAAGTAAGCAGCAGGAAGAGCAGGGGCAGAGACGGAGTCCCCAGGTTGCCCCACTGATGAAGCATGAAGGCAAGGATGGATGGAGCCTGCTGCTCAGCTGGCAAGATGACAGAGTGTCATTTTCTTAGGGATCTTGGTTCCTGAACTACGTCTGGGGCTCTGCTGGGCTCTCCAGAGATCCTGTATGGTTTGTCCCAGGTCACCATTAGATCTGTCATTTGGTCTATGGCCCTTACTTCCTTTTCTATGTGTGGTCTTAAAATAAATCCTACCATGCTTAAGGGAACTTAGTGGATATCTACTCCTTCCAATCTGGCTCCTGATCACTTTCTCATCTTTTTGAATAACTCAGTAAGTTAAATAATATGGCAGGATTCTTGATCACCTTTTGTTCAGCCAACTTTTTCCAGATTCATCAAGGATTTTCTAGGAAAGAGAAAATTTCCCTGGTTAGAGCTCCCTTTCCCCTCTGTGTCCCTTCATTTATTTCTGCTTGATTATTCATTCACTCATTCATTCTCTCCACAAGCTCACATGGATTATAAAATGCACAGGGCCACGTCTATGCTTTGAAGGAGCTCATAGGCTTGCAAGGACAGCATCATAAGTGAGGTCAGTGCAGGAGTGAAGAGAAGGATGGGTGCTGCATGCACCCCAAGGTGGAATCACTAGAATCTGGGGCATTAAATTGGGGGTGGGGAAGGCTACTCCTTGGCTCCACCATCTGCACTGGCAACTTTTCCTGCCGACCTTCCTGAAAATACTGGCTTTTGTGCCTCTGGCCTGGAACCACATGTAACCAAAGCCATATGTTCAACTTGGTTTAATTAAATGGTGGCCTCAGCAAATTTCTGATGCTGTGTATGTTGCCTTGGTGTTATAATATTGTTAATATTTGTTACTGTATGTTGTTTGTTATGTTTAACCCTGAGGCTGAGATTCTTTTAGTCTGTAAAGTTTAAATGTTGAGAGACTTCTGGTCTTGTTTTTTAAAATCAGTATTATTTTTCATTTATTCCATGAGAACGTATCTTCTCTTCTCTAGGTTGGACCTGGGAGAGTCCATAGTCCTAATTTTCCTGGGAGATGACTATAATTTAGTCACCTCTGGGAGTTGACTATTTGCAGGGCAGCAATGGAGACACAGACATAGAGAACAGACTTACAGACACGGGGCGAGGGGATGGTGGTGGTGGGAGGAGAGGTTAGGACAAATAGAGTAAAATGAAAACATATACACTACCGTATATAATACAGATAGCCAGTGGGAATTTGCCGTATGACCCAGGGAACTCAAACTGGGGCTCTTTGACAACTTAGAGGGCTGGGTTGGGGTGGGAGGTGGGAGGGAGTTTCAAGAGGGAGGGGACATATGTATACCTAAGCTGTTTTATGGCATACATACATATCATGTTGATGTATGGCAGAAACCAACACAATATTTTAAAGCAATTATCCTTCAAATTAAAATAATTTAAAAAAAAAAGAAATGTTAGAAGAGAATGTTGTGCTGTGAATACAAAGACCTGTCCTCAATTCTTAGCCCCAAACTGCAGAAAAACCTAAATTCCCAATCCAGTTTCTAAGTGCAGTTGCCCAAGCACCCAAGATGGCAAGCAGAAGGGGAAAACCGCCTCTTCCTAGGCGAGGGCCTCTCAGGCTTGGCTCAGCCCCTACTCTCCCAGGGCCCATCTGGGCAGGTGAGAGGGGAAGTCTTGGCCAGGTGGATACGTGAACCTGCCCGTGTTCTCTAGCCCACAGAGGTTTGCAGAGGCAGCAGACCTGCCATCTTGGCCATTTCCCACTCGCGCAGCTCCTGTGCTCTTGACCCGAGGGCAGATTTGGTCATTTCATTTGGGGGTGGCGGGGTGGGGTTGATACAGTGACGGAGAGTTCCTCCAACCTTGTGCAGGTCCCCTGCAGGGCAGGCCTAAGTGTCGGCTGGCTCCTCGGCAGTGCCAGCCGAGAGAATGCCTGTTTCAGAAGGTGACAGTGACAGAGGATGACATTGGGGGTGATTTCCTTGGGACAGGGGGACCAAGGTTGCCTTTCTGATCCTTATATCCATGTTTCTGGGCTGGGGCAGGTTTCAGAGGCAAACAGGGCACTTCTGAAGGTGGGGGGCCCCAGCATGGATCTTGAGGAGGGCCTGTAGGAACTTCTCTGAGGCCTCCAATCCCTGGGCAGGGCTGGGCTGGGGACGGTGGTTGTGATGTTCACAGCTGTGCTCCAGGCCCAGTGAGTGCAGTGAGACCTACCTGCCCTTCTCACTGGGCTGGAAGTTCAGGGAGCTGGGACTCCCCTTGGGTACCTCCCAGCACAGGCCCCTCACCCTCTCTAATTGCTCTGTACATCTACATCTTGGATCCAGGGAGATTGGCCTTAATTTCAAATAAGCAATTAATATTCAGAAGACAGGCTTATACTTAGTTCCAAGGCTGCTGCCCCATCCCTTAGCTTTCAGCTTTCAGTTCAGTTCAGTCTCTCAGTCATGTCTGACTCTTTGCAATCCCATGGACTGCAGCACGCCAGGCCTCCCTGTCCATCACCAACTCCCTGAGTTTACTCAAACTCAGGTCCATTGAGTCAGTGATGGCATCCAACCATCTCATCCTCTGTGGTCCCCTTCTCCTCCTGACTTCAATCTTTCCCAGCATCAAGGTGTGTTCAAATGAGTCAGCTCTTTGCATCAGGTGGCCAAAGTATTGGAGTTTCAGCTTCAACATCAGTCCTTCCAATGAACACCCAGGACTGATCTCCTTTAGGATGGACTGGTTGGATCTCCTTGCAATCCAAGGGACTCTCAAGAGTCTTCTCCAACACCATAGTTCAAAAGCATCAATTTTTCAGCGCTCAGCTTTCTTCACAGTCCAACTCTCACATCCATACATGACCACTGGAAAAAACCATAGCTTTGACTAGACAGACCTTTGTTGGCAAAGTAATGTCTCTGCTTTTTAATATGCTGTCTAGGTTGGTCATAACTTTTTTTCCAAGGAGTAAGCATCTTTTAATTTCATGTCTGCAGTCACCATCTGCAGTGATTATGGAGCCCAAAAAATAAAGTCTGCCGCTGTTTCCACTGTTTGTCCATCTCTTTGCCATGAACTGATGGGACTAGATGCCATGATCTTAGTTTTCTGAATGTTGAGCTTTAAGCCAACTTTTTCACTCTCCTCTTTCACTTTCATCAAGAGGCTATTTAGTTCTTCTTCGCTTTCTGCCATAAGGGTGGTGTCATCTGCATATCTGAGGTTATTGATATTTCTCCCAACAATCTTGATTCCAGCTTGTGCTTCCTCCAGCCCAGCATTTCTCATGATGTACTCTGCATATAAATTAAATAAGCAGGGTGACAATATACAGCCTTGATGTACTCCTTTTCCTATTT